TGGCTGCACTCAAGCTTTCACCCTCTGTACTGACGCTTCTGGACAAGGGATCGGAGCCGTACTCATGCAAGAGGATCTCGCAAGGAAAGTTTCTAGTGATAGTTTTTGCAAGTCGTAAACTTAATGATGCTGAAACACGTTATTCAGTAACGCATTTGGAGACGTTAGCTGTTGTGTGGGCACTAAAGAAGTTTAAGGACATTATATTTGGATATAAGATAACTGTATTTGCGGATCACGCGGCAGTGACTGAACTGTTCTATGGCAGAAACTTATCAGGCAGATTGGCACGCTGGTATCCGACAATTCAGGAATTTGACCCCGAGTTTAGGTATTTACCGGGAAGGGCGAATGTTGTCGCCGACGCTCTGTCTAGAAATATAGCACCAGTGATGCCTGTATCAACGTTCACTCTTTCACAACTGGAGCATGAGCAACGACGCGATCCGTTATGGTCAGCAGTCATTTTTGCTTTAGAATAGGGAGAGGATGTTAAACTCCCCAAATTAATTCTTCCCTTAAGTCACTACTGTTATTTTAAAATGCCACGATGGTGGTAAGCAGTTGGTTGTAAAAGGTCATTACAAGGCTCCGGATTACTGTGAAGTCACTTGTAGTTCATTACGGACCTTGCCTACTCATCAGCATTTTGCCTTGAATTTAAATCTCATGTCTGATTTAATTCCCATGTGTCCTGTTATGAACTTTACTGTAAAAAAATTTAAGATCGTTTCAGAGAAATTAAAGGTTATTTCCTACTTGAAAGAGGCCCAATTTGCTGATTTGAATAATAATTTGCCATTTTACTTGTCACGGGAAGTTGCAATACCAAGTCTAACAATTCCCACAATTGAGTAAATTTTGGCAGTTATGTTTCTGTTTTGTTATTATAAGTCAGTATCATCCAAATTGACAATTATCCACAACATTCTAACCCGTAAGACACTTAAGTCTAGGACCCCTGTAGTTGATGAAAACCCTACGGTTGCAGAGTCACCAGCTTAGTGTTTACATATATGTTTATAACATCGTTAGGGTTGTGTAGGATGTAGTCTGCGAGATTATTTAGTCCTCGCAGAGCTCGGGTGGTAGGTGACCGAGCGATGTAATGGCCCCTGTCTCATCAACAGAAGTATTATATAAATGGGTTCATTACATTTGATTTATATACTGATTCATCCCCTGTAACTTTCCACTGGCTATGAAATGTCATGCTCTTATCACGTGACTGTATGTCAGAACATGGGTCAGCTCGGATAAGCCGGCACCCACGTGCAGTCCCACTCATAATCTCACATCAAACGGACGTGATTAAACCGTCTATTTACATAGCCGCCGTCCTCTCTCTTCACACTCATAAATAGTGGAAGTTACCGTTGATTTACACTCAGGAATTGCATCAACAACAGTTTCTTAATAAAAGGAAGAAACAGACAATTGGGTTTCGTTACTCTAACCCAATATAATATATATGATCAGTCCTATATACATTATGACTAGTTCACTGCTGTGTTTGAACAAAAACTGTATTACTTTCCCAATATACTGTATAGGCTTCAATTAATTATTCTGATTGATCAACAATTGGTATTAGTGTATGTGTGAAGTTGTGTACTGTGAAGGAGTAATGTTTATAATCAGAGTGATCAGAAGTATGTATTTATTTCCAAAATGATTGGCATTATTTTTATACTACGGAAATTATATTTCTGTAAAGTAAACAGATAAGAAATACATGTTTATTTCCAAATTATTGATATTATTTTTTAAAGGAAACTAGATTTTTGGTAATAACAACAAAAATATTTGACCTTCCAAAGAAGTAAGAAATAAACATCTTTCATTACTTTCTTAAGTTTATTGTATTCCCCAAATAAAATAACATTTAAATATTTAATACATTTACATGCTGTCCTTCCAAGACAGCAGTGATGACATGACAGAGATTAGTAGTCCCGTGAGGCATGGGGGAGGCCTTTTGCTGCCCCCTATAACTATATGACAGTATTTACTTACTTTGAGGAATCGATTCTCGAATCGATTCCAGCGATTCCATTGGCACTGAAAATCGGAACTGTCGATTCCAATTTTAACGATTCTTGCCCAGCCCTAGTATATGCTGAAATGACTTGACGTTCACCCAGGCGGGCCAGGCCCCTAGACGATAACATACGGCAGTACCCAGCAACTGATCGCCCTAAACTCACCAGAGGCTGTCTGGTCCAAGCCAAACGTGCAACACGCAAGTGTGAAAATATTGTGTTTCATTGTGGACGTGAAGAATATTAATTGAGTAACTTCTGATGATATGCAGCTTATGTTGTGTTTACTATCAAGATAATCTACTCATTTGTATGGTAATATTAGGTAAATGTATAAATATGATATGTCACCTAACCTTCAGTTTCCCCCTTGTAAATTGATTATTTGTATTTGACAGGTACGACTGAAATAAACTGTATCGAGTTGACGTGGCAGGTTAATCTCCTTACCGGGCGATCATAATTATTATTCAAACAGAATAATGTAGGTTGAATTTCAACCTTTTTTCCCACTGCAGCAAATCAATCTTGAAGCTGTACTGTACTTTTTTAAAACGTTGGTTCTCAAACTAGATCTGTTTCTAGAGCTGATATCATTCCATCTATCGAAGCGAATCTGTGCAGCATCTCTTAATGGGGAGGTAGAAACAGTGGTAAAACTCAGTATTTACCAATTACACTTTCCATACTAGATAATCTCCCACCAATCACATTTTAGGATGCAATCATTCTGCCAAATTCTAAAATAGATATGCTAGGCCTCACCGTTTCCTCTAATATGTCATGGAAGCCACACATCCACAACATTGTTAAAGCTGCCTCCCGAAAGCTGGGAATACTGTACAGATGCAGTAGCTACTTCACTCCTGAGCAGTTGCTTCGAGTTTATAAATGATTCATTCGTCCCAACTTGGAGTACTGTTCTCATTCTGGGGTGGCACTTCTTCTGTCCAACTGTTAGATAGGGTGGAATCAAAGGCATTTCGTCTTATTATCTCTCCTCCTTTAGTTGATAATCTCTCTTCCCTTTCTCTTCGCCTCAATGTTGCTTCACTCTCTCTCTTTTACAGGTACTTTAACGGGCAATGTTTGGTGGATTTGGCAAGGCCGTGGGTTCGTAACACATGTCTTGCCCACGGTGCCCACCGTTTCTCTGTGGATGTCGGTCACACTAGATTCTATAATAACCCGTTACAGTACATCCTTCTTTCCTCCCACAGCCAAACTGTGGAATGCTCTGCCTTCTTCTGTGTTTCCATACTCATGCAATCTGTCTCTCTTGAAAAAGCTGATTTTCCGGCAGCTTCGTGGTGTAGGTTAATATATTTTTTTCTTTTCTATTTTTAATTTCTTTTTACTCATATTTTTTGGCCCCCTAGGCCCCGTTGTGGATGGATGACCTGTGCCCGGGTGGGCTATTCCCCACAAAAAAAAAATATATCAACTTGTAGAACAGTGATATTCTTTATATCATTAATCTGTTCAAAACAACTACAATAAAGTGCATTGGTTAACTGTCTATTATTTTTTCTATTAAATGGTGTAAAACTGTAGTTACTTCCATCGCTGCCTGATCAAGCCTTAAAACAAAAAATATGAATAAATTATAGTTTTCAGTGATAAGACTCCAGGGAAATAAACGCATCATTATTAGAGATAGCCTTATTTCGTTTGAGACGTCTTTCATTATTTTAACATAACCAACCTTACCGAAGTTAGGGCCGGGTAAGGTTAAGTTGGTTAAGTTAGGTTAAGTTATGTTACTTCAGTAAGTACGATAACATTCACCTATAGTTTATATTATGTGTACACCCACTAAAAAATTATTCGGCACCCGTATCATATTGTATCACGCCGTAAGGGTGCCGAATAATTTTTTATTGGGTCTACAGTATTGTTTGGTGCACATTACTATACAGAATACTTCAACATTAATGTACATCCAATAAAAAAATATTCGGCACCCTTACGGCGTGATACAATATGATACGGGTGCCGAATAATTTTTTAGTGGGTGTTCTTATTTACATATCAGTCCGAGTTTCTCGGAAAAATCTTAATTATATTCAAATTATCGTTTTGACACAATTTTTTCTAAAATGCACGATATCATACACATGTAGAATTAGTACAACACTGTCTAAGTACTCACAAAGTATGTATATGGTGGGGTTGGCAAAGGTTCCCAAAATGAAGCGGAAGGCGAGAATGACACTGAAGTTAGTGATGACAGAGGTGCCGAGGGATGTGAAGCTGTACACCACCAGTGACACCACCACCACGACCTTTCTTCCGTGCCTGCAGGAACACACACACAAACATACACTCTCAGCAAAAGAAGTAAAAAAAAAATAGAGGAAAAAATTCCAGTTTTGTAATATTCATGAAGTTCAGGAAAGATTAAGCGAGTGAAGGATGTCATCAAGGTAACGCGAGTAAATTAGAGTTGGTTATGGTAACTGCCAACAGTTACATCACCATTAGAGTATAGCCTCCTAGAAACTTACATTAAAAATAGATTGTGTGATGGGGACATGTTACGGCACACATAAGTGGATGACGAAAGCCCCTCACGGTCCACACCACTACACATTCATGTATATTTTAACACTGCTAAGATGTACATCGCTAAAGTATCATTTAAAAAATACTGTGACTTATTTATAAGACATTCTCAATATTTTAGTTCAGTTGGGAATATTTTTAACCGATAGTGAATGTGTAAGAAAAGCAAAAAATCATTGCAGAAAACTTACTGTCGGAAAACTCACCTGAAGAAGTTTTCTCAGCGGATAATTATTAGGTGACACAAACACCCTGAGGTTACACTCACCTTCACATTGTACCATACTAACATCTCCCAGGCAACATGGATGGGTTCCATAGGCCTCATGGCTCGTTACGGGTAGTGTCAATGTAGCACACTAATATTAAAACTTTGGTATATTACTGCACTCAATGTCCTTACTTACCAACTGTGAAGGTAGGTGTCCATTCACAACTAGGTGGATGAGAAGGGAAGGGGGGGAGGGGGGGAGGGGGGGGAGACTCCGGACGCGAGCCAGCAATTCTTAGACTGGACGCAAGCTCTGTATCCATTTGGCCGCCGTAACACAAGTAGTGTCGGATAAGCTAAACAAACATTTTTCTGTATAACGTTCAGAGAATAATATGTAATGTGCAACTGTTATGGAAATTGTATTGCGACCAGTGTCCATGCTATGCTGGTGTGATAGATATAGGCCCTATGTCAGGAGTGTAATTATACAGAGACAATGGCCACCTCTCTTACCTGTCAGCTATATATCCCGAAATAAAGGGACTGAATATGGTGGAGAACGCGTAGATGCTCTGATAGCTAGCTCGGAGGTACGCATTCTGACACACCAGCCCGAACTGTTGACAGAAAAACCTTTATACACACATCCAAAAAGGTGATAAAAAAGTGAGGTAACAAGTCTTAATGTATAAAGATTTGACAAAAATGAACTGAAAGTCTAACAAAATATGGCACTGCTAATTTTAATGATTGGCTGGTAACTTTTTGTTGTAATAATTATTATAAAATTTAGAGTGTGTCCCTGGAACACCAGTTACCCACCGGACATGAAGATGAGATCTAGTGGCGGCCAATTATGAATACCCGTACAGTGTATTACGATAATCATGTCTAAACGGTACCCGGATCCCGCTGTTCCCTTATGACAGCAACTGGTTCATAATATAATTGCTGGGAAGCCTAATTAAAAGTGTGAAACTCTCTCTCTTCATTTCCACATTGTGTTATCACATATTGATGAAGTGATTAATTAAAGACTGAACATAGTAAGGTTAGGTGGTAACCTAAGTTTGTTTAGTTAAGAAAATTAATTTAGGAAAGTCTTCCAGGTTCACTGTTAAGTGTCCAGGGTATAACAACATTCACGACTTGCTTACAGCTACCTTAATTAACGCATCCTATTATGTTTTTTTCACTGGAAATAATTCAGTAGTCCTATACTTGGCATTCTTATACCATCAAACTTTATATATCAAATCACATGTACAGTATCTTTTACACCTACCAAAAGTAACATTGGCGATATGGAAGTTTTGGTCAATGTAAGATAAGTGTTAATATAAGAAACACGGCCTTATTGTTATGTTGATCGTAATGTTTATGTTTTTTCCTGCTCTTCAACATGTAATGCTCGGACTCAGAAGTGGTGCCACTAAGAAGGCTCAGACTCTCAATTGGCTCAGCCACATCAATATTGGCATTATTATCCCCCCATGAATCTGTATTTTTCTGGCTAATTAAACTGTTTTAATATCAATATCAATACGGCAGCTGACATACACACTACCTCAGAGGTGAGAGTCCGAGTGAAGACGGAAGTGTCGAAGTCCCACTCGGTGCAGTGTTTCTCTTCCAACCCCGCCAAGGATGACCTGTCCACTGTGTAGGTGCATGAATCTCTGCGAAGGAGGACACAAGTCAGCTGTTAATGCAGTGTGGAAGAACAGATTGGCCAAAGTGAAATTTTTTGTAGTTGTGGAAAATTATTGAATATAATCAGAAGACAAGGATGGAGTTATATTGGTGTCGATCAATATATTGGTGTGGGGGTATGGCGAGTTTTATGTGTGTGTGTGTATTGGACCAGCAGCCGTCGGTGCTGGAGGGTGTCAGGTTGTGTGCACTGAGGCAGTCACAAGTAGCTCATCACGAATTTTCTTTTTACATCGAGGAAGGAATTGATAGAAGTGATTCTATAGTTGTTTATAAGAGTAGCTGTTGCATAGTTTCTTTCCTGGCTGTCATTGAGCAGCCATGCTCAAGTCACATCATTTTATATTTCATGAGTCATATACTTCTGTACGGCGGCTACAACAGTGACAAGGGAAACATAGCGCGGATGATCACAGTGTTCACAAGACAAAGAACCCTACATGAGTTTTTTCCCAGCACTGAACGATAATATGCGCTACTACAGACGAGGTGGTGGCTTGCGTCGTGACACACACACAGGAAGACACAGGTACCTTGCTCAATAACGTTGCCTTGGATTTACATTATGTATCACACCCTAGAAAGATCTGACCTTTCAGACGTTGTGTCGCCCGAATGTTGCCCGACCGACTTGCAAGCTGACCAGAATGAGCTGCACATTCTCATGATAAGTTTATTATATTCACATCCTCTGTTGTCTACTCTATTCTTGTGTTCCTTATTGTGTTGTACACCTCCTTCCCCATTCCGTATGTAGGTGCCCCGTGAAGTGCTTTCCCCGATGATACGAGTTCCAAATAACGTATGGGAACTATGGGGTACTCTTTTGGTTACTCTGTTTTCATTTCTTTCTTACTTACTTGTCCGGGTGATATCTCAGGCACTTTCTGAGCTAGGAAGATGATACTTGGACTAAATGTTGACCAAGAATTTAAAAAAAAAGAAAAATATTGATTTAGTGTTTTAAAATTTTTTTTTTGCTTTTGATTTATATTTTGTTCAAGACATGGCAGTGTAGATTGAACACAAAACTTGTTACCATTTTCTGGTGCTTATTATATCCCCATCTTCTGTTAGTTTTTCTCATCATCTGTTGCTTAATCTCATCGTCTGTTGCATATTATGTTTCCACCCTCGCCCATAGCAGGGCCAAAGATAAACTCACTATCCTCTATGTCAGCGCTTCTCAAACTATCTGATGTGGCGGACCGGCATGGGTTTTTTTCAATGTGCCACGGACCGGCGAGCGAAGCGAGCCAATCCCGGGGCCTATAGCCCCCCCCCCCAGGAAAATCTTTTGAGATATGTCCCACAATAATTTTTTGTTTTTCAAATTTACACAGGAATAGTGTGAACCGGCCTTTAAAATTATTAGTGCTTACATTTTCAGATCAGTGGGTTGGGATGGGGTCCCAAATGACAAACACGCAGATACCCGTATGATGCTCTCTGTTCCACTTCTTGATGGTAACTAACCAATGACCTGTGACCTGACATCACAGACTGCTGATCCACACGTGTGGAATAGCAGGGTTGCCAGCTGTGTGACACCCTTCACGGCTGGCACGCATAGTAAAAAATCGGCCATTTCTTTTAATGGGATGCATACATTTATTTTATCCGAAATTAAATAACTACCATACTTAAAATGAAAAGATTTATGTTTTGGGTGGATATGGCGTAGCTGGTGGCCGAGAAACGTGGCAATTCTGGCAACACAAGGTGATGCGCCCTATTGATATCCCCAGGTGTGGTTCCCACAGAGTCAAACGCCACATCATCATGAAGGTGTTGTTATACGTATTTCAGTTCGCTGTTTTAAGAACATAAGAACATAAGAATGGAGGAAACTGCAGCGGGCCTATTGGCCCATACTGGGCAGTCCCGTTTACACCCAACCCCTATTGCTCATATGAGCATCCAACCTAGGTTTGAAGCAATTCAGCGTATTCGAGTTAATGATGATATTTGGTAACTTGTTCCATTCATCCACTACTCTGTTTCCAAACCAGTGTTTACCTATTTCACGCCTAAATCTAAATTTGTCTAATTTAAAACCATTGTTACGCGTTCGCTCCTGGTTGGATAATTTGAGTACCTTCGTAATGTCCTCTTTGTTTAGCCCTGTCTTCCACTTATACACCTCTATCAGGTCGCCCCTCGCTCTACGTCTCTCGAGGGAGTGCAAATTAAGATGCTTTAACCTGTCTCTATACTCAAGGTTCCTAATGCCCGGGATTAGTCTTGTCATTCTCCTCTGAATTCTTTCCAAGGATTCTATATCCATTCTGTAATACGGTGACCAGAACTGAACTCGTAATCCAGGTGTGGTCTCACAAAAGATACAGTTTTAGGATGACCTCGCTAGTCTTGTAACTAACTCCTTTTGTATGAACCCAAGTACTTTATTAGCCTTGTTACGAGCAAAAACACATTGTTTACTTGGCTTAAGGTTCCTACTTATCATTACTCCTAAATCTCTCTCGCAGTCGGATTTCTCTATGGCATCGTTGTTCATCTGGTATCTGGTTTCCCTGTTTACATCTCCTATACTGAGTACTTTACATTTGTCGCATTCGTTAGTTGCATAGCAATGACTTTTAACATGAGTGAGTAAATGAAAAATATAGCCATAATAAATATAAAAACTACAATGAAAATGTAAAAAAAAAAAGACCGAGTCAGATGTCCCGGCAGTGTCACGTGGTGTGGAACGTGTCTATCGTTTCTTTCTTTTCTAAAAACTCTCCGCGTACCGGCAGACGATGGCTCACGGACCGGCACCGGTCCGCGGACCACACTTTGAGTAGCACTGCTCTATGTAGTTTAAAGTCTAAATCAGGGGTCCGCAACTTTTGTACACTATTATAGTCGGCCACTTAATGTTCTTATGTTCTAAGAAATCAGCGATCGGCCGCAGGTGTACAGTCCTGAGCCATCAAAAGTCAGTACTGCGTTCCACAGAATTGAATGTAAAATCAGAAATGCAGGACTTTATCTTATTGTATTTTTTTTTTATAAACAACACCGATATTTAAGAACATGGATCTTTAACTTGTCTCTGTACTCAAGGTTCCTAATGCTCGGGATTAGTCTTGTCATTCTTTAAATTCTTTCTAGGGTTTCTATATCCATTCTATAGTGCGGTGACCAGAACTGAACAGTGTAATCCAAGTGAGGTCTCACAAGCGCACGATATGGTTTTAGGATAACCTCGCTAGTCTTGTACCTAACTCTTCTCTGTGTGAACTCAAGTACTTTGTTAGCCTTGTTTCGAGCAAATACACATTGTTGACTTGGTTTAAGATTCCTACTTAACATTACTCCTAAGTCTTTCTCACAGTCAGATTTCTCTATAACAACGTTGTTCATCTGATATCTGGTTTCTCTGTTTACATCTCCTTGACTAAGTACTTTACATTTGTCACATTAAATTTAATCTGCCACATTTTAGACCACTTGAAAAATTTGCTTAGATATTCCTGTAGTTTTGCCGAGTCCTCGTCAGATTTAATTACAGGCCCTACTTTAGTGTCGTCAGTAAATTTACTTTTATTGCTGTCTATGCTTAATGTATGTCGTTTATATATATATAATAAATAGAAATGGTCCAAGTACCGAGTCTTCGGGTACTCCACTAGTGACGTTACCCCAATCTGATTTAGTGCCGTTAATACTTACTCGATGGAGATGTTCGGGGTACTTGGTTCTAACTACAGGAGCGAACATAAATACCTGTAGAGTTCTG